TAAAAGAAACCGGAAACTTGGTCCAGGACGGCCTGTTTTTGTTTTAATGTTTTCAATTGTGGTTAAAAGTCACATAATAGAAAACATACCACTTTAACCATATTTAACTGTACAGTTCAGTGGCACACGTATGTTCACATTGTCATGCAACTCACCATCAGGATGGACTGGGTTTGACTTAGTAACTGGACTGGGTCTGGTATGAGGCCTCAGGTTAATAAAATGTTGTCTTGAAATCAACCTTACTGGACTTCCCTGCTGGTCCAGGGGTTGATTCCCAGTTTCCAATGCAGGGGTGGCGAGGGTTTTATCCCTTGCAGGGAAATGAAGATCCCGCACGTCTGGTGGCACAGCCAAAAAATGTAAAATTAATAAATACAATTTTTTAATGAAGTTAATTTTAGCAAAGATAATCTTGAGTTACAGTGGCCGCAGTGGAGAACTTTTTTTTTTTTTTTTTAGTTCTACCAGTTTATTGCTACCAACCCATCTCCCTACACCCTTGTGTACACAGGCTCAGTCATGTAACCCCATGGACTGCAGCTCACCAGGCTCCTCTGTCCATGGACTTTTCCAGGCAAGAATACTGGAGTGGTTTGCCATTTCCTTCTCTACGCAGTGGAGAACTTTTAACCACCTGAGATGACCTTATCCAGTTACGAGGTGCCCTAGAGAAAAGGGTCTCAGCCATGAACTCACTATGAAGGGTCAAGAGAGTTACTTTTCCTCCTTTACGGTTTCTAGTGACCAGGATGAGACCCACTGGGACGCCCCACTTGCTCGGAATCCTGCAGACGGCATTATGAGGAAACTGGCACAAGGCTGGCAAAGGGTAACATTTCTTACCAAGGTCAGATCTCCCGGATCTGTGGAGCGTGGGTAAGAGAGGAAGGGGAAATTTGACGTTGTCCTTTCCTTTCCAAATTCACTTTGGCAGGAAAACACATTGGCTATGGATTCTTTCCCTCCCAGGGATAGCTGTGAGATATAAATGATGTTTTACCTGTTTTTTTGTAGGAACTCAGAGGCATCTGGTGAAATGCAAACTTCAGAGAAGTCATGCTTATCAGGAAAAAAGAATAAAAAGCAGCAACAGCAGGTATTTGGAAAGTGAGTGAATGAAGAATCTTAAAACTTTTCCCCACTAATATCAGTAAAAAAAATAAGCCATCTGAGCAAGTAACCTTAACTTATTCTGTCTCCCTGATACACAATTTAGATCCAACCATTCTTTTATAAACTAATGAGTTTTGCCTTATTGTATGTATCCCATGGCTAAAAATGTTAAACAAAACCTGTACGATCTCTGCATCTGTCTGTATGTATATGATAGATGTGTGATATTTTCCTACCTTTGGATAGTATAGCCAAAATTAATTTGTAAAGAACTCTAATAGGCTGAAAAAACAAACATTTATATAGATGAAGTGTGTGCTAAGAAATATAGAAACCAACCCAAATGTTTTTCAAGTTCACGTGGTCTAGCATCTTTGGTAAATGAAAGCTAGTTTAAGTGTGTTGGTTTAATTAAAACAGGCATCTTTTTAGACTAATCAGTATTAAGTTGAACATTTTTATTCTACCAGAGTTAACTAATGTTAAATTATGTAAATGTAAAGTAAAGTTATGTAATCTCTGTTTTGTCAGCAAGAATGGTAACTTAAGATGATGGCTGGCTGTTCAATATCTCATGAAATTTTCATGAGTAATCTAAACATAATTGTTGAAAACAGGTAAATTAAAGAGATGTAAGTAAAAGTTTTAAAATGTACTTTTCAACAATAATCATACCTTACAATATGTTTACTTAAGATTAGTTTCCAAAGTCTTCTTGGTAACTTAAAACCTTAAAGTTGTATGAGATAAGTTAAATGAGTCATTAAACATCTAGATCATTTCCAAGTAAGATAAATATTTCAGTATTTTAGTAAGATATTTCAGTAAGATAAAATACTGAAATATTAATTATTGAACACAGGTTTATTCACTTTTGGCTTTCTTTGGTAGAGGAACTAAAGATACTCACTTCTAACCAGTAAACATGTTTTGTGCCACACTGAAAAATTACAAAGAGGAAGAATATACTTCTGGCAATTGTGAAAGGTATTTATAAACATGCCAATCTACAGAATGCTAGGATAATAGTCCATACTGCTTACTTCTTAGTTTTCACTAGGAGTAAAGGATTCTAAGGGTCAAGAATTTTAATAAATATATATAATTAAAACTACATAGAAATAATTAAGGTGAGAGGAAACAACTGTACCTGTAAACTGAACTGGATCCTGAATTCTTTCAGTTTCCTCACATATCTGCTACGACTCTCCAAACTAGTGTTGCCAGTTTTCGCCCACTCTTTTGATTTGGAATCACTGAGAACAATGACAACCCCTGAACCTCCTTGGAAGGGATGATACCAAGTCCTTGTCACTACCCAGATGGCAGCCAAACTTCAGGGAACTCAACCTGGGTACACATCCCCCACTTACAAAGGGTTTTTCCAGACCCTTGGAACTGCACACCAGCTGGAGATATAAAATTGACTAGAGAGGTTCCTCCCCAGAAGCAGATGGCATCTTGAGGGAGACAGCTCTCCCGAGATCATGGATCAAGATCTTCATCCCCAATATGAAATCTTTATCCCTTTGCCTTCCTGCTACTTTCATGTTCCCTCTGTTAACTCTAGGAAGACAATGCCCCTTAACCCTGAGCACTATTGATACATCTGGAGCTAAGGCCATAGCGACACAACAGAGTCCCAAGACTATCTCGCTAAGGTGGTTTGGACACTATAATTGCCATAGATTACTTGTCGGCTGAACAAGGAGGAGTCTGTGCCGTAGCGAGTCTCTCCTGCTGCACCTGGACCAACACCTCTGGTTCTGGAGCAAATGCAATAAATTAATCCAGCCACCTGGCTAAAACAGGTTGATGCTCCTTCCGGTACATTCTTTGATGTATTTGATACCAATTGGTTTGATCCATGGAGGCCCTGGTTTAAAAGTATACTTCAGGCTCTTGGTATTACCCTCCTAGAGTCAGCACTGCAGAGCCCCTGATGTGCTGTGTTCTCTCAAAGTTCTCAAATGTGTGTTCACAGCCATCAGCAGTACATCATATGGTCTACTGCACTTAGAGAGACAAAAACAAGATGATCATCAAAAATAATTCTCCCACAGATCAGACATCATAACTGATGAGTTTCACAGTGAGACAAGAGCAACTTAAGTCTGTTGGTGCCTGAAAATGGCTCTAATACCAAATTTTAAGTCAATGTCTCCCACATGAGAGGATGACCAAAATGGGGGGGGGGGATAGCTTCATTAAAAAGAAGACATTATTAGAACTGAGGTGGCTCGAATGCCTTGGTAGCCTAGTTAAGCAAACAAAGTCTAAGCTTGTAAGTTTTTCAAGGTTATAAAATCAAAATGCTATGGACTACCAATCACAAACAGCCAGCTAGGCTTTAACTAATAGCCAATCAATACTTTCTTTACTTTGCTTTCCCCATTTTCTCTATTAAAGTCTCCCCCAGAGTTCCTGTTAGTGGAGTACTCCTAATCACTTCCAGTTTGGGGCTTCCCTCTTCCAACTGACTTTTGCTCAAAAAAACTCAAAATGTTTAATGTGTCTCAATTTATTGTTCAACAATCTTAATAATAATAATACCTCTAAATCTATCTATCTCCTTTTTCTTGATTTCTTTTTCAGGTATCACTTATCTCAACTATTGGGCTTCCCTTGTGCCTCAGCTGGTAAAGAAGCCGCCTGCAATGCGGGAGACCTGTGTTGGATCCCTGGGTTGGGAAGATCCCCTGGAGAATGGAAAGGCTACCCACTCCAGTATTCTGGCCTGGAGAATTCCACGGACTGTATAGTCCATGGGGTTGCAAAGAGTCGGACATGACTGAATGCTTTCACTTTCACTCTCTCAGATATTATAGTCAACCTCCTATTTGAACTTGTGACTCTTGTTTCCTTTGTACCAAACACAGCTGGCCTTTGAACAATGTGGGGATTAGGGGTACTGCATAGTTGAAAATCCAAGTATGACTTTACAGTTGGCCCTCTGCATCCACAGCTCTTTATCTGCAGAATCAAACAACTGCAGATCGTGTAGCACTGTAGTACATATGTATTGAAAAGAAATCTGGTATAAGTGGAGCCACATGGTTCAAACTTCTGTTGTCCAAGAGTCAATTGTATACCCATGATTAATACAAGGAAATAAAATCATTAAATGCTTTTAAGTTGCTTAAGAGTCCCATAGCAGAGATTGAATTGTGACTGGAGTCCCTCAGATAGCAAGGAGATGAAATAAGTCAATCTTAAAAGAAATCAACCCTGAATACTCATTGGAAGGACTGATGCTGAAGCTGAAGCTCCAATATTTTGGTCACCTGAGACAAACAGCTGACTCATTTGAAAAGACCCTGATGCTGGGAAAAATTGAGGGCAGAAGGAGAAGAGGGCATCACAGGATGAGATGGCTGGATGGCATCACTGATGCAATGGACATGAACTTGGGCAAACTCCAGGAGATGATGGGGGACAGAGAGGCCTAGCGTGCTGCATTTCATGGGGTCGTGAAGAGTTGGACACAACTGGGCAACTGAGCAACAACAGAGAATGTTGCAAAGTTTTCAATAAGAAACAACCAGCAGTAAAAGATGATTAATCAATCTTCATATCTGAGAATATCCAGGAATTTGAGCTTTATGGAAGCCCCTAAAACTCATCTCACCTTACCTGCAACAATGAAAGAACCATCTATTCCTAAGTTGGTGCAGGGAGAATACACTGACTTATGAAATTGTTATCTCTTTCATGAGTTCATTTGTAATCAGGTTTCGAGAACCTCATAAGATGCTTCCAAGGCAGAAACATTTCTCCAAGACAATTTGTCTCTTTTAAATCTCATTAAAGCGTGATTGGCAAGGAGCCCTTAAGGATCAGACATCCAGAGGGAGAAGAACATGTTACTGATAGCTAGTCAAGTGCCAACTGACTCGAAGTTGCCAACTCTCTTTCCTGGGAAAACCAAGGATATCTAAGCAAAGGGAACTTTGCTGATAATCAGGAGACATTCTCTGGCCTCAGTAAGCTGCTTGGCAGGAGATGAATCAGGGTTGCAAATGCCGCCTGGGTCAGTGTATGGCTTCAATCACACAGTCCAGATACATCCTGGAAGAAGCTGAACTTCAGGCCAAGATTTCATAGAAAATTCTCCAGCAAGAAGTTCTCCTTAGACCCAATCTCCAAAACATGATTAACCCAAGAGACAGTAACCATGTGTAGTAAGTTTGCTTAGAGTTGACAACCAAGAACCACAGCAATCCTCCTAAAAGATAAAACAACAAACTGAGAAACTCTTCTTTCCAAAATATATGCCCATTGCTGTAGATTGCCAGTGCTCTGGGAAATGTGTTCTTACTTTCATATTGTCCTGAGAAATGTCTCTGTTGCATTTAATTGATAATTTGACTCATCTAAGTCAATAATAATACTCAGTAATTTGCAAGGCAAAAGTTGTTGCTGTTTAGTCACTAAGTTGTGTCCGATTCTTATGCCACCCCATGGATTGCAGCATGCCAGTCTTCCCTGTCCTTCACCATCTCCCAGAGTTGGCTCAAATTCATGTCCACTGAGTTGATGATGCCATCATCATCTCATTCTCTGTCGTCTCCTTCACCTCCTGCTCTCAATCTCTTCCAGCATGAAGTGTCCACTCCATCTCAAGATTCTGTCTCAAAGGATCATTCCAAGTTCAAAAAAACAGAAGTGAATATCTTTTGTAAAACTTGTTTATGTGAAAGCCTGAAATTCCTTTTTAACACTGCAGGAAAAACCTCAAAACACTGCATGATGCTGTACTTTCCTGCTTTATGCTTCTTCTTTTTAGCTATTATCAACTTCATATTGCAGACAATAAAAATTGATGGCCTGGATAATTTTGTCCTTGTCTGCGAGTATATTTCTTCCCATGTGCCATAAATGAATACTATTTTAATTAAATAAATGTCAAATAGTTCAGTTTAAGCATAGGAATGGCCTTAATAAGTCTCTATTATGTACACAAGTGTTGAAGAACATGGTGAAGAAACAAATAATATTTTCACATCTTCAACTTTATTAGAACCAGGGTAAGAAAAAATAAATTATTTTGACAGCTACATTTTTAAGGATTTCTGCAAGTATATTTGTTTTCTTAATAATCTATATTATAAATATGCATCATTTTGTTAAAGTTATCTTAGGACAGGAAGAAGGCTCATTTACACAGGGTTATTATACACTGATTCAAAGTACATTTCACAGAATATTTCTTTTCAGAATCAACTTATTTTTTTCTACAAGAGTATTCATAGTAAGTATTCTTTTAATGTACACATGGAACATTCTACAGGAGAAACTACAGACAGGGCCAACATACCATCCCCCCAAATTTGAAAAGGCTGAGATCATACAAAATGTGTTCTCACCATAGGCTCTGAGAAAGTACTGAAGTGTAACCCACTTTACTGATGAAGTCTGGTGCCTCCTCCTCCTTACACATAAGTAATTCCCAAACAGAAAGTGTGATTGTGGGGTCCAGATGGCACAAAATGGCTGAATGGGAATATCTCAAGCCCCAACTCACCCATCATCCCTTTTTCTGCCCAATGGGCTGGACTCTTATTTTCAGCGAACACCCATTAAAAAAACAGATTTGCCACCAAAACTAGGACTGTCTCCTCAGGCATATCAGACAAAGATGTTTCACTAACTTCCTTGTGATAAAGAATTAGAAGTTCATAACAAAATCTCACTGTATATCTGTTAGAGGGGGTTTCTGGTATATATTTATACCTAAGTCACTGTGGGTACACTGCATATAATTCACATTCCATGTGGTCAGTTTCAGTTCAGTTGAGCCACTCAGTCATGTCCGACTCTCTCTGTGACCCCAAAGACTGCAGCACGCCAGGCTTCTCCGTCCATTACTAACTCCCGGAGCTTACACAAACTCATGTCCATCGATTCAGTGATGTCATTCAACTGTCTCATCCTCCATCACCCCCTTCTTCTCCCACCTTCAAACTTGCCCAGCATTAGGGTCGTTTGCAACGAGTCAGTTCTTCACATCAGGTGGCCGAAGTATTGGAGTTTCAGCTTCAGCATCAGTCCTTCCAATGAATATTCAGGATTGATTTCTTTTAAGATTGACTTATTTCATCTCCTTGCTGTCTGAGGGACTCCAGTCACAATTCAATCTCTGCTATGGGACTCTTAA